CCTGTGGGATCTGACACTATGTGTCAGGAAAAATTCCCACACATTTGGTCACGGAAGTCTTCTGTGTTGATTGTCATCGTGATGTGAGAGCAGATGGAAATGTTTGTTTTTTTCCCCTTAGTGTTGTATAGTAAGCTCTGAAACTGGGGTGAATTTTGTTCTGTTTTCTCTTTCAAGATTGTTTTGACCATTCTCAATTCTTCTGGTATAAATTTCAGAATCAGTTTGTCAATTTTTCAGAATAATCCTGCTACAAATGTGATAGGCACTGCATTGAACATATAGATCAATTTGAAGAGTTTCACAATCTTAAGATATTAAGCTTCGAGTCCATTAATGTGGAGTGTCCCTGTATTTATTTAGATTTTTGAAAATTTCTTTCTGGAATGGTTGTAGTTTCCAGTGTACAAGTCTCACACTTATTTTGTTAAATTTATCTCAAATATTTTATTGTTGCTGTGGTTTGAATTTGTTCCCCCAAAATTATGTGTTGGAAACTAATCCCCAATGCAAGTTTGGGGAGGTGAGGCCAATAAGAGATAAGGCCATGTGGGTACAGTGAATGCTGTTAGCATTGCAGTGAGTTTGTTATAAAAGGAGGGAATTCAACTCCCCTTTACTTTCACTTTCACTTTCTCTCTCATCCTCTCACCTTCCACCATGGGATGACATAGCAAGAAGTTCCTCACTAGATGCCAGAAACTTAATATTGGACTTCTCAGCTTCCAGGACTGTGAGCTCCAGTGTATCAATTTTTTCCTGCATGGATTATGGTTTTACTGTTATGTCTAAAAATTCTGTACCTAACCCAGATTATGAAGATTTTCTCCTATGTTTGCTTCTAAAATTTTTACAGTTTTGTTCTCTACTTTCAGTTCTGTAATCCTTTCTGAGTTAATCTATGTGTACAGCATGAGGTTTAGGTCAAGGATTATTTTTAATGCATGTCTAAATGCTCCAATACCATTTGTTGAAAAGGCTATGCTTTCTCTACTGTTTTTGCACCCATGTTTAAAATTTTTTAACTAGTCATATTTTTGTGGGTTCATTCTAGACTCTTTATTCTGTTCCACTGATGTATATTTCTAAACCGCCACCAATACCACAGTCTTGATTACTGTATCTTTAGAGTCTTAAATTGTGGAATGTGAGTCAAAGTTTTTCTAGTTTGGTAAAAATTTGGTTTAGCTATTTCAGTTCCTTTGCCTTGGATAAGGCTTTAGAATCCACTTGTCTACATCTACAAAACAACCCTTCCAGGATTTTGACTGATATTTTGTTAAATCTAAAGATAAACTTACGGAGAATTGACAACTTGACTATGGTGAATCTTCCCATCTATGAATATGACATGTCTCGTTTATTTAGGTCTTTTATTTCTTTCATCAGTATCTTATAGTTCTCAGAGTACAGGCCCTATGCATGTTTTGATTTATACCTAAAGATTTCATTATTTTATAAACTATTGCAAATGACATTGTTTTTAAGTTCAGCTTTCAGTTGTACATTGCTAGTGCATGGAAACAATTTTTGTGTTTGATCTTGGATCCTATAATCTTGCTAGCTAAACTCACTTATAAGTTCTTGGATTTTGCCTTTTTTTTTTAACAGTCTATAATGCCTGGCTAATTTTTGTAATTTTATCCAGACGGGGTTTCACAATGCTGCCCAGGCTGGTCTCGAACTCCTGGTCTCATGCAATCCACCCGCCTTGGCCTCCCAAAGTGCTGGGATTACAGGCATGAGCTAGCAAGGTTTTTGCTTTTTACAGCTTCCTTTGTATGTTCTACATATTCGATCATACCCTTCACACACAGAGACAGTTACACTCTTTCCTTTATAATATGCATGCATTCTATTTCCTTTTCTTGATTTATTGCACTGGCCAGGATTGCCAGTCCTATGTTAAATAAGAGTAGTGACAGCAGATATCCTAACCTTGTTTTGATCTTACAGGGAAAACGTGGTCTTTCACTATTAAGTATGAAGATAACTGTAGTTTTTTCAAAATTGCCCTTTATGAGGTTGAGGAACTTCCCTTCTCCTCCTAGCTTGCTGAGAGCTTGTATCATGAATGGATGTTGTCTGTCATCAAATGCTTTTTCTGCATCAATTGGTATGGTCAGGTGGTTTTGTCTCTTTGGCATTTAATCTTCTTTAATGTAGATTATATTGATTGATTTCCTAACACTGAACCAGCTGTAACCCCACTTGGTCATGATTCTTTCTATATTATTCTTTCTATATATTGCTGGATTTTATCTGCTCATATTCTATTCGGGATTTTTGCTTCTATGCTCATGAGGAATATTGGTCAGCTATTATTGTTCTGTCTTGTCCCATTTTGAATAAACGCCCTTTTATAATGAAAACTTCTTAAATGAAATACATGACCAAAAATCCTATAATTATCATTACTATTTTTAAATATTTTACTAGTTTTTATATCCTAACGTAGGTTTCCTCAATAAGACAAGCCAGTATCCAGGCCTTGTTCATGGTGTTTGACTGCAAGTAAAACCATTGGCCCGTCTTGAGCCTTGTGTACACGAGACAGATAATGGTGGAGCATGTTCTTTTGAGATCTTTAATCAATTCTGTCAGAGACCTCTTATATATATATATATGAGAGAAATTTTTTTAATTTTATATTTTTATGCAGAAATTTTAATTTTATATTTTTAAAAAATATACAGGAGGTATATACGTGCACACATATGTAATTTTTTTAAACAGAAATGAGTATCACTAACACAGCACAAGCTAACATTTACCTTGCACTTTGCATCTGGTATTCATCTAAGCAATTTAAAAATTACCTCTTTTAAACAAAACTAGGTTTTTTATCTGTACAAGGTAGATGATTCAACAGGCTACATAACTAGCCAGTGGTTTCACAAAGTACATAAAGAGGTAAGCTACATCTTGCATCCTGACTGCAAAACTTATACTTCTAAATTGCTACAAGCTTTCAGATACTGTTCTATACCCTATTTCTTCATCTGACATCTCCACTTTATCCTTTTTAATGTTTGTATCATATTCCATGGTAAATGATGTTTTCCAAAATTATTGCAATAATATATTCCATAAAATATGCTCTCCTGGCAGGGTGACTCTGATACTCCTCCCAAGAAGGAGTATCAGAGTTCCCTGATACTACGTAGAGAACTACGTTCCCTACCCTTTGAGTTTAGATAGGCTTGACTATGGAGAAAGAGATGCTGATTTTTTTTTTTTTTTTTTTTTTTTTTTTGAGACAGAGCCTCACTCCAGTCACCCAGGCAGGAGTGCAATGGTGCAATTGTGGCTCACTGTAAACTCCGCCTCCCAGGTTCAAGCAATCCTCCCACCTCAGCCTTCCTAGCCCTACAGGTATGTGCCACCAGACCTGGCTAATTTAAAAAAAAAAAAAATTTTTTTTTTTGCACAGACAGGGTTTCACCAAGTTGCCCAGGCTGGTCTTGAACTCCTGGGCTCAAGCAATCCACCCACCTCAGCCTCCAAAGTGCTGGGATTATAGGCATGATCCACCATACCTGGCCGAGATGCTGTTATTTCTGATGCTAGGTTACAAGAGGCAATGTTTTCTCTGCCTGGTTCTCCAGAACCCAGGCAACATGTTGAGGAGGCCCATGCAACCACATAAAAAGGTCACATGTAGATGATCATATGCAATCGCCCTAGCTGAGGTCCCAGCCAAGAGCATTGACCACCCAATTTGTGATGGAGCCTTCAGTTGTGTTGTCTGATGGAAACATGTGAACCATACATGTAGGCTACATATGTAAATTTAAATTTTCTAGTAGTCATATTAAAAATCAATTTTAGAAATACATTTAGTTTACCCTAACATATCCAAAATATAATCAATATAAAAACCATTAAGATAGTTTAGTTTCTTTTTTTTATACAAAGTCTTCAAAATCTGATGCACATTTTATACTTACAGTACTATTTTCAATCAACACACTGGTCACCATTCAGACTGGCTTCACTTCAACTACTCAGTAGCCACTTGTGTCTACCACTGTGTGGCCACTTCAGATGACTCCACTGACCAACTGTCAATTCTAGCCTTGAGTTTTCCCAACTGAAACCCCAGACATCATGGAGTTACAAAGCTGTTCCTGCTGTGCCCTTTCTGAATCCTTCACTCAGTCTGTGAGCATAAAAAATTGGCAACTAAGTGTGTGATGGTTTATTACGCATCTGTAGTAACTGGGATACTAGCCAATGAAAAGTTTTATAACTTCTTTAAACATTTCTCTACTTAGATGTTTCTCCCACCTCTTTCCAGGATATTATTATAACCAGTGATGATGAGCAATACAAACTCTGTAAGTTAGCCAAATTATTTCCTTAAATGTTTGAGGGTGGCATTTCTGGGTCAACGAGAACATACATTTAGTAGATTTACATTCATGTTGCCAAACTATTGTTCAAAGCAGCTTAACCAGTTCTCACTAACAATCATGTATGTGTGTGCAACTGTGCTTCTCTTGATTAAGTCTGGCCCTTTTCAACCATAAGTTGAATATTTAGATCCTTTCTTTTCTATTTTATAACATTCTTCTCTAAGTTTGCTTTATTTCTTTTACATTTTGAACTATATCCATGATATATTTTTATCACAAAATATTCAGGTAATGCACTGACTATACAAAAGAAGTACTATACCATTATTCTTTACTTTGGATCTTTTTCAACTTGATGTCATAAACAGCTTTCCCTGTCAGCTCATAAAAGTCTAACTCACCAAATTATTAATTAATTAAAGGACTGCCTTTTAATAAAATGTTGAGTGACTGCATTGTAGTCCAAAGACTGCATGTATCTTAATTTAAACATTGCCCTTATGATAGACATTGCAATGACCACCTCTTCATTACCACAATTCTGTAAAGACCACCTTTACTTTTTAATTAGATTTTAAGTAGAAATGTTAGATCAAAGCGTCGAAGTTGGTAGGCATAAATAATCATTTATATTTCTTATTCTGACCACTGTACATTCATATCCAAGACCATTTCTCCACTGGAATTTTTATATTTATGTATTTTTAAGGACTTTCTAGATATTCTAAGTGTTATCTGTTAAATATGATGATGGTAATATTTTGTCCAAGTCTAGCCCTTTGTATTTTAATACTGTGAAGCCTTTAGTTGTAGAAACTGAAAGCTTTTAGTTTCTATGTGGCATGTCTTATTTTTATGACTTCTGAGTAGGAAGATAACTATACTAAGTTATGGAAGATACATGAATTATGCTTGATTAAATATTTCATTTCAAAGAACACAGTCAAAGTCAAAATTTCACTTCATCATACCAATAAAGGTTGAGTATTCCTCGTCTGAAATGCATGGGACCAGAAGTATTTAGGATTTCAGACTTTTTGGACTTTGCAGTATTTGCACACACATAATAAGGAATCATAGGAATGCATTTTAACTGCAACCCATCACATAAGGTTTGGTGTGGAATTCTGCCCCTGTTGGTGCTCAGGACAGTTTTGGATTTTGGAGCACTTCCGATTTCAGATTTTCTGATTATGGATGCTCAACCTATACCACATCCTCCTCAAAGATAACTGCTGTTAGCTCAGTGTGGTGGCACATGCCTATAGCCCCAGCTACTCCAGAGACTGGAGTGGGAGAGTTGTTCAAGCCCAAGAGTTCAAGGCTACAGTGAGCAAGGATCACATGGCACTCTAGCCTGGTGACAGAGTGAGAGCTAGTCTCTTAAAAAAAAAAAAAAAAAAGATATTTGCTGTTAAGTTCGGTCTTTATTTTTCCAGGTCTTTTTGATTGTATGTAATATAGATTTCCTACAACTTGCTTCTTTAATTTAACAAGGTATCATGGGGATATTTCTACTGTTGTATTTTTTTTACTTATTTTTAGAGATGGAGTCTTGCTGTATTGCCCAGGTTGGAGTGCAGTGGCTATTCACAGGCACAATCATGGTGCATTACAGACTCAAACTCCTGGGCTCAAGCAATCCTCCTGCCTCAGCCTCCCAAGTATCTGGGACTACAAGCATGTGCCACCATGCCTGGCTTTGTATAATATTTACAGCTCCACCTCAATCTTTTCAGTCACCACACACAGTATATATAACTATTTCCATACTGACACACATTTAGGTTCTTCAAATGTTTTACTAGTATGAACCCCACAATGAATATCCTCACAAGTGAGATGTTCTCTCAGAAGTACACAGAATATTTCTGTTAAATGCATAATTTATTTAATATCTCCTCCATGGTGGTCAGAGGGAATAAACTATGCTGCACAATTTACCACACTAACTACATTCAATGGCTCTTTCTTTGTTATGAATTTTCTTATGTTGTTTAAGGGCTGAACTTTGGGGAAAAGCTTTCCCACATTCATTACATTTATAAGGTTTTTCCCCAGTATGGAGTCTCTGATGTTCAACAAGGCCTGAGCTGTGCCGAAAGGCTTTCCCACATTTCTTACAGTGATAGGGTTTTTCTCCAGTATGAATTCTCTGATGTCCAGTAAGTGTTGAGCTCTTTGTAAAGGCCTTCCCACAGTCATGACACTGATAGGGTTTATTTCCACTATGAGTTTTCTGATGACCAGCAAAGGATGAGCTATATCTGAAAGATTTTCCACATTTACTGCAGTGATAGGGTTTCTCTCCAGTATGCATTCTTTGGTGACTAATAAGAGTTGAGCTCTTCCTAAAGGCTTTTCCACATTCATTACACTGATATGGCTTCTCACCAGTGTGGATTTTCTGATGTTCCAACACAGTTGAGTTATCCCTGAAAGCTCTCCCACATTCATTACATTTAAAAGGCTTCTCTCCACTATGTATTCTTTCGTGACGAGTAAGGGCTGCATTCTGAGCAAAGGCTTTCCCACAGTCATTACATTTGTAGGGTTTCTGGCCAGTGTGAATTCTCTGATGACTTAAAAGGATTGAGTTTTTTCTGAAAGCTTTTCCACATTCAATGCATTTGTGGGGTTTCTCCCTAGAATGAATCCTCTGATGGTGGATAAAGGTTGAGTGCTTCTTCAGGAACTTCCCACATTCAACACATCTATAAGGCTGCTTGCCTGCATGAACCTTACTGTGATTTAAAAGGGATGAACTGTTCATAAAGGCGATCCCACATTCTTTACACTTATGTGGTTTCACGCTGGTGTGATTTCTCTGGTGGCTAATGAAGGATGAATTGTATTTAAAAACCTTCCCACATTCCTCACATTTATAGTTCTTCTCTGTAGAGCTTCTGCCCTCCCAGTCCAGGCCTTTTTCCATCATGACACTTTTTATTCGCTCTCCCAGAACAGATCCTTCAGAAGTGCTTTGCTTTAGGGCTGACATCTTTGTTTCGAACCAGTAATCCGGGACTGAAAGAAAATTTTAAAAGTTCAAATGTTCTTTATGTTGAAATGCTGAAAGTAAGAGGTGTGCAAGGACTTGAACAATGTCCTATTCTACATAACTAAAGGTTATTAATGTGTCCCACTGGTGATTCTTGCTAACTGAGAAAAGATGGCCAAACTAAGGGCAGGATAAGTAAATATGATTTTAAAGAAAATAATCTATACTATAAACACTGCATTTAAAGAATGCAGTGGGCACCTAAGAAGTTCCCAAGTTAGGAAAACAACACAGAAAACAGCCAAAAAAGAAAAAAGACAAAGTGAGAATAAACACAAAATTGAGGAGAAAGACCAGAGTCACAAAGCAAGCTGTAATTACTACTAGGGTAGATTTCTGCAGGTGGTATATTTGAGAACATTATGATGTCCCCAAGAACTTGAGAAAAACATTTCTATGTGACGATTTAACAATGAACCAAAATTTAATTGCTCAGAGGAAAAAAATAGAAAAAATATTCAAGGAACCGAAATAGTCTCAGTCGAAAAAGATTTTACTATAACCTAAACTTTTAACATACCTATAAAACAACATACCTAGGCCAGGCATGGTGGCTCACGCCTGTAATCCCAGCACTTTGGGAGGCCAAGGCAGGTGGATTACTTGAGGTCAGGAGTTCAAGACCAGCCTGCTCAACAATGGTGAAACCCTGCCTCTATTAAAAATTCAAAAATTAGCCAGGCATGGTGGCACATGCCTGTAATCCCAGCTATTTGGGAGGCTGAAGCAGGAGAATCTCTTGAATCCAGGAGGTAGAACTTGCAGTGAGCCAAGATTGTGCCACTGCACTCTAGCCTGGGCAACAGAGTAAGACTCCATCTCAAAAAAGAAAAAAAAAGAAGAAGAACATATCAATCAATGGGTTAACTATGTGAATCTTCTCTGGCCTTTTACAAAAGTACAGACACCAGACCCAAAATAGACAAAACAAAATGATTCAGATAAAAAGATTCTAAAAACTAATAGAGCCAAACTTGTAGTAAAATTAACAATCACCAACAAATTCTTTTATCTAAATGCACTTTTCTTTTAAACGTAAGTTGTATCTATCTATACCTAAAGACATATACACATACGTATATATTTATACTTAGTAGACTGGGGAGAAATTCCATACAACAAATATTAGAAATAAGACTTATTTTTTTCAAGGAAATGCAAGTTGTTGTTGTTTTCTGAGATGGAGTTTCACTCTTGTCGCCCAGGCTGGAGTGCAATGGCGCAATCTCAGCTCACCACAACCTCTGCCTCTGGGGTTCAAGTGATTCTCCTGCCTCAGCCTCCTGAGTAGCTGGGATTACAGGCATGTGCTACTATGTCCAGCTAATTTTGCATTTTTAGTAGAGATGGGGTTTCTCCATGTTGGTCAGGCTGGTCTCGAATTTTCAACCTCAGGTGATTCGCCCCCCTCAGCCTCCCAAGTGCTGGGATTACAAGTGTGAGCCACCACGTCTGGACAGGAAATGCAAGTTGAAGGTGAAAAAAGTCAGAAACAGCCCAGATTATTCCAATGGCCTTTGATAGGATATGTGTTTAATGTATAATGATCAACTAGAGAAAATGTCAAGGTACTGATTGTAAAGCTGGAAACGTGAAGACACATATGGACGCCTGTTCTATGACGAGGGTGGCCTTACAAAGCAGTAAGGAAGGGGAGGCTCTGCATTAGCATATTTTAGGAGGAAAAAATAAATATAAACCCTACCTCATACAATGCACAAAAATCCATTCTAAGAGGATGGTAAATGTAAACATAAAAAATAATAAAGCTTCTAGAATTTAACACGGAAGAATATCTTCATGATCTTAGAAAAGAAAAAATATTAGGATCACAAAAATAATAAATGTTAATAAATAATTGTTAATATATAATTTAAAATAAACATTTTTAATAAAGCAGGACACAAAAAGCACTGACAATAAAGAGATTGATCAATTGGAAGAACTGGGCTGGGCATGGTGGCTCACACCTGTAATCCCGGCACTTTGGGAGGCTGAGGCAGGAGGATGGCTCAAGGCCAGGAGTTCCAGACCCGCCTGGGCAACATAGCAAGTCTCCATCTCTACAGAAAAAAAATTTTTTTAATTAGCTGAGCATGGTAGCATGTATCCATAGTCTCAGCTACTCAGAAAGCTGAGACAGGATTGCTTGAGCCCATAAAAAGGAAGAACAGCTATTCATCAAGACCATTAACAGTCAGTGACAACACAAACCATAAAGAGAGGGATGGTACAATACATGTAATCAGTAACAAGCTCTTCAAATAGTTACCCAATCAGAGATGCTCTAAAGGACCAATAAACATTCCGAAAGGTCTTTTTTTGTTGTTTTTTTTTTAATACGGAGTCTCACTCTGTTGCCCAGGCTGGAGTGCAGTGGTGCAATCTCAGCTCACTGCAACCTCCGCTTCCCAGGTTCAAGCAACTCTCCTGCCTCAGCCCCACAAGCAGCTGGGACTACAGGCACGCATCACCACACCCAGCTAATTTTTTGTATTTTTAGTAGAGACAGGGTTTCACCATGTTGGCCAGGCTGGTCTCAAACTCCTGATCTCAGGTGATCTGCCCGCCTCAGCCTCCCAAAGTGCTGGGATTACAGGCGTGAGCCTATAATTACAGGCGTTCAGCCCTAAAATGTCTTTAACCTCATTAGATATCAGGGACATGGATATGAAAACCACAATGAGGCACACTGCACATCCAACAGAATGACCAACTTCACAGGACTGACCACAGGAAGTGTTAGCCAGGACATGGAACAAGGAGTGTTCTCACACACTGATGACAAAACTATAACTGGGTACAAAACTCTGGAAGATTATTTGGCATTATATACTAAAGCTGAATACATGCCCAACAGAAATGTAGCCACATACGAACCAAAAAATAATGTATAAGAATGTTCACAGCACTTGTAATAGCCAAAAGCTGGAAAATGCCATATAAGCATCTGAATGTAAGAGAGAAACTGCTGTAGAATCACACAATGAAATACTCTAGAGCAGTGATTTTCCAAGCATGAGCTCCAGCCCCAAAGCACCACAGCACCAGCATCAGCATGTCTGAGAACCTGCTGAATAAAGAACTCTGCAGGGGGCCTCGCAACTATACTGCAGCATGCATTCTGAAGCATGCTAGAGTTTTCAGAAGCATTGATCCACAGCAAAGAAATAAATAAAAATGAATGAATTTGAGAAAATGCTATGCATATGTCAGACAAAAAATTATATGCACTATATGATTCCATTCATATAAAGTTAAAAACAGGAAAAAATAAACTATAGTGTTATTTCAAGGGGAGAAGAATGGGTAATAGTTGGGAGGAATCATGATGTGATTTACTCAGGAATTGTCAAAGTTCTATTTCTTAACCTAACTTTTGTTTACATGGGTATTAACTTTAAAAATACTAATTTAGGCTGTATGCATATTTTATCAGCTTTTCTAAATATGCATTAAATTTTCTAAAGGCTTTAAGAAAGAAAAGGGAAATCTAGCTTACAAATCCTTTACTACTTCAATCAGAGAAATCAAAATACAAATTGCAAAATATCCAAAAAATGATAATGAATACATATTATAACCTACTGAATACAACTAATACATTACACAGACAAAGTTTAAGGCTTTAAATATTTATATTACATAAATAAGAAAGAAGAAACATCAATGAATGAATAACTAAAATGTTTAGGCAAAAGTAAATAAACCCAAGGAAAGCAAAAGAGAAAAGGAACTTAAGATTCAAAAGACAGAAAACAATAACACTAATAAATACATCCAAATGATCTTCTTCAAAAAAATAAAACAGAGCTAATAAAGGGGAAAGATGAAAATACAGGAAATAGGAAAAAGACAAAGAAATCAGGAAAAGTAATCAAAGATGTGGAGGATATTATAAAAAGAATCATAAAAAGCTACTTTGCTCAACACAAATAACTTGTAACCTTCAATTACTGGATACTTTTTAGGAAATTGTAAATTACTAAAACTGCTTCATAGAGAGAGAAAATCTACCTGGACAAGTCACTACTGACAACACTGTCAGAAAAGTACCCCAATTCCTCCCCTTTGTTCTCCATCACAATAAATAAGTAAAAACAGGTCAAAGGACCCAAACCTTTAAGGGAACAGCTATCATGTGAGTTAAACTAGGCTAAAGGATAAAAATACAAAAGACCAAAAGTATTTTATGAAAGTATTACAAAATTAAATCAAAGCCCAATTAAAATGGGCAGATGAAAAAGAAAATGTAAATACATTTAAGTGTCAGTGCAAAAATTTAAACAAAAGATTAGCAAACAGAATCATCCACTGTCATATTGAGAGAATGATGTAATGTGTCATGGCCAAGATAATTGTGAATAAAATCTACCACAGAAACAGATCAAAACAGAAAAGACAAATATTTCCATATATCTTGAAAAGGCATTTAATAAAATTCAGCAACCATGCTTGATTTAAAAACTAAAATTTCTTAACAAAAGATGTGAATGAAATACTTCCTTTACATAACAATGTATGTGTATCCCAACTCTACAGCCAGCTCAACTGAGAGGCCCAGACACAATGCAAAGATGCAAAGACAAGCATGTCCATCATTATCTTTGTTAATAAGAAGTTGATATAAAACAAACTTTTTTTAAAAATCTGTGATATGACATCCAACTAATTTCTTGAATGTATAAAGAACCCTTCACATTGACAATAAAAAGATCAACAATCTAATAGTAAAATGGGCAAAGGACAGGAACAGGCAGTTCTCAGAAAAAGAAATACAAGGGTTGCTGAAAATGGTGAAACATGCTAAATTACAATCCTGATAAGAGAAAGCCAAATTAAAATTACAGTAAAATACTTTCACCTCTCAGATTGGCAAGGATCAAAACATATGACACTATTGACTAGCTATGATAAGAGTGGCACTCATACATTGTCATTAGACGTGTAAACATGTATTATCTCTATGAATAGTGGAAATATCCACCAAATTTGAAAATATACTTAACCTTTAACAATTCTTATAGGAATTTATTCTATAGATTTACTTGTACACTAGAGAATTGATGTGTATTAAGATAATCACTGCAACACTGTTCAGTCATTATGTCCACTAAAGACAACTGATTACATAAACTATAGAAACGTCCATAAAGTGGAACACTATGCAGGCAATTAAAAAGAAAGATAGGCTGGTGTGGTGGCTCACACCTGGAATCCCAGTATTTTGGAAAGCTGAGGCAGGAGGATAGCTTGAGGCTACATGTTTCAGACTAGCCTGGGCAAAATAGCGAGATCTCATCTCTACAAAAAAAAATTTAAGAATAAATAAAATTAAAAATTAAAAAATTGGCCTGGTGTGGTGGCATGTTCCTCTGGTCCCAGCTACTCAGGAGGCTGAGGCAGGAGGATCACGTGAGTCCAGGAGGTCAAGGCTGTAGTGAGCCATGATCACACCACTATGCTTCAGCCAAGAAAACAGAGTAAGATTCTGTCTCCAAAAGAAAGAAAGAGAGAGAGAGAGAAATTCTAAACAATATAGTCATGTGAAATAATTTCTAAGATATAAATGCCAAAGTAAGAGGCAAAAGAGTATGCTACCATGTGCTTAAAGAATGCATGGATACTCTCACAAAGTATATATCACATCTGCAAATCTCCACAAGAAACTGACACAGGGATGACTCCAGGGAGGAGAACTGAGTGATGAGAAAGGTATGTGAAGGAGACTGCATACCACTTGAACCATTTGAATATGGTACCATAAGCATGTCTAACAACTAACAGAAAGGGAAATACAAACACAGAAAAAACAAAAAAAAACATAAAATACTGAATGGCTGTGAAGTCTTTGTAGAAAGATTTACTAGTCCTCTAAGTAGATGAAAGAAATACTAGGGGAAACATTGCTTGTTTTCATTACATCTAAGTTTTAAACATTCTATTTCAAGTCACAACCAAAATTAAAACAGAACAAAGAATAGAAGACTGAGTGATTTTTGTTACTATATAAAGAATCTACACAAGAATTTAGGGGGGAAATGTTAAACATAGTAAGAATAAGAGGAATTACTTCAAAAGCATCCTATCCACAACAGGCAAAAACCTAGGTTAATCAAGACTATGTATTACTGGTATTTTACATGAAATACAGTTATAAACATTCTCCTGAAGACGATAGAGGCAAAATGACAATTAGAGTTTTAGAAGAACAAATACTAGCAGGATAAATATTTTAGGTGAGAGAAACATTCAGGCTTAGATATTTAGAAATAAACTATGGCACAGAGAAAGTGACATACAGAAACATATACAAAGTATACACAGAAAAAAAATGAGAGCCAAGAGCAAAGGATAGTAGAAAAGAGAAATAAAAGAAGATCCATAAGAAAAGGGAAGAAAATGCTTCCCCACCAATGTGTTTGCCAAAAATAATTACCTGAGAGCTAGAAAACCATGCTGATGTTTGGAATCTGCCACTGCCACTAGGAAGTGGTATAGAGTCAGTTAGCTACCTTACATGAGAGAGTGGGTAAGGAATGGAAAATGAACAGGGGCCAGGCATGATGGCTCAAATCTGTAATCCCAGCACTTTGAGAGGCCAAGGTGGAAGGATCGCTTAAGGCCAAGAGTTCAAGACGAGCCATGACTAATATAGCAAGCTCCATCTCTACATAAAATAAAAATTTTAAAATTAGCCAAGCATGGTGGTGCCTGCCTGCAGTCCCAGCTACTCCTACTCAAGAGCCTGAAGTGGGAGGATGGCTTGAGTCCAGAGTTTGAGGTTGCAATTAGCTATGACTGCACTCCAGCCTGGAGTGCAGGCTGACAAGGCAAGACTCTGTCTCAAAAAACATAAAAGAAAGAAAATGGACCAGAAGTAGAAAGAAACAAAAGACAGCCTGATCAATGTGTGGAAAGACAGAGAGAAAAATCACATAAACAGCCTGAGGATTTCAGGGGTCTGGGAAATGGCATGGAAGGGCCTGATGCCCTCAGGAAGGGAGCAGTGCTCCCAAATGTGGAAAGACTGAGGAGAAAAGTGGCCAGCCACTTGACAGGAGGATGACCTCAAAAGAGAAAACAGGGTCAGGGCCCCAGCCCTTCTGCACCGACAGGACACTCAAAGATGAGCTTTCCAAGCAGGAGCCCTTGCACTGCTCCATTTGCTCAGCTGCTGCTGGGATGGTTCCCACTTACTCACCTGCACACGTGCCTGATGGAGCCTCTCGCATCTCCATCCACGGCTCTGCCCCTTGCTCCAACTGGGCGATTAGTTTTGGTTTGGAAGAGAGAAGCCCTGTTCATAAAGAAAAAGGATCTTAGAGGAAGAAAAAAAAATAATGAAAAGGAATGTGACGGTGGTTACAAGCACAAGCAGTCACCCCAGACCTCAGTGTCAATGAGCATCTGCAAGAAGCATGGACAGGTCAGGGAGGCCTAGAGGGTGGCACCCAGGATGTCCAACTCATGGAGTAAAGCAAACAGAGGGGGCAAAGTCAATTAGAAAACCAAGTCCTCCTGGAGGACAAGAAGCTCCTATTTCAGGAGGCAGATGAATCATGACACAGAAGCATTCCAGAACTGTGCTAGTTGGCACGACAAAGCTGCCCATCGTAACTCTGTATGGCTCTGATCTTTCTTGAGGGATGGAAGGAGCATGAACTCCAGCCTCTAAGCCCACTCTTAAGAATAACAAAACAAACACAGCATTTAAGACTTTTCAATACCCCAAACCATTTACCAAGTGAAAACACAAAGTTGCCCAGCAGGTCAATCCTGAGTCAAGGAAAAAGCCATCCTCACCCACAGACACCAGATTCCCATAGTTCTCCAGCATCACATCCCTGTACAGGGCCCGCTGAGCAGCATCCAGGTGTCTCCACTCAATTCGGGTAAAGGCCACGGCCACATCCCCAAATGTCAGCAGTCCCTGCAAAACCAAACCCAATTCTGCTCATCCAGGAACCCTTGAGGGATGCATGCCAGGAAAATGAAGCAAGGTGGTCAAGGCCAGCTTCTGACAGTTCTAACGGTCCTCATGGGAACCAACAAGTAAAAGCTGAGGGCTGAGGGAAGGTGCAACCATGCCTGTCCTGCTCCTTCCTCAGGGCCTGGCCTCTGCTCACCCCACCCTTCATATCACCTCATCAAAAAGGTCTTCTCGGCCGGGCGCAGTGGCTGAAGCCTGTAATCCCAGCACTTTGGGAGGCCAAGGCGGGTGGATCATGAGGTCAAGAGATAGAGACCATCCTGGTCAACATGGTGAAACCCCGTCTCTACTAAAAATAAAAAACATTAGCTGGGCATGGTGGCGCGTGCCTGTAATCCCAGCTACTCAGGAGGTTGAGGCAGGAGAATTGCCCGAACCCAGGAGGCGGAGGTTGCGGTGAGCCGAGATCGCACCATTGCACTCCGGCCTGAGTAACAAGAGCGAAACTCCATCTCAAAAAAAAAAAAAAAAAAAAAAGGTCTTCTCTTCTCTTTCTCCACCCCATCCTCTGCCACTCTGTCTCGAAACCCACTTCATTTATCTTCACAAGATTTCTCACCACCTGACAGGATAGGCTTGTATTGACTGTCAGCAGCCTCTAATGTGAGCTCCACGGGGGACAGTGTGGGTCACTGCTGCATCCCAGTCAAAAAGACTGTCTGACACACAGAAGTGTTCAGGCATTGTTCAATCAACAAATAAATAGAAACTCTGAAAAGACATGGAAAGTGATCAGCTTTTTCTGGGAATTTACAGGGAGTATGATCTGACTCTGGGGCAGAATCTTTTTGAAAAGAAAAAAAATTGCTTTTCATAACTGTAACAGCTTACTATGTATGAGGCACAGTGCTAAATCCTGAGATACATATCATCTCTCTAAATTTCTGCCATAACTATATGAAGTAAAATCTATTTTGTAGCTAAAGACACAAAGGTTCAGAGAGTTGGAAGAATTTGCTCAAGGTCCCAGGGCTGGTTGAAGGTACAGTATAAAAGGAAGCTATAAAAAGTGGTAATGAAACTAGAACAAATTAGAATGGCCATGAAATATTAAAAGGAAAAAATGGGTAAGCCTTTCAAAAAATGCAAAAGGTATTTCAAATGAAATTACTTGACTTGTTAAAGCAGTAGAAATGTGGGTGATCTTCAGTTTTTAAAATTTTTCTTTACTTGTATAATATTCAAATGTTTATCACTTCCTTTCAAAATACCAGCTATTTAATCAGCTTCTTGAAATCTTTCAAAACCTTGTTTTCTCGAGGATAAAGGCAAACTCCAGTCTGGGATTCTAGACAATGAATGTTTCCAACATTCTCAGGCCAGTTTGTTCATGTTTCCGCCATACGACCTCATTCAGGCAGCACTTTCCCCTAGTATCCTCAGCGATTATGCAAATCTCATTTATTCTTCAGGAAGAACGAAGGTACCCACTACTCCACTCCTCCCACCCCACCCCACACTAAAGGTCAAGAGAGTGCTGCCATCACCCTTATCTTTACGGCCTATGTCTTTATACGCTAAGGTGTATGTTTTTCATTGTCTGCCAGTTTGCAAAGTACTGTTCTGTTTCTAGTGCTTTAGAAAACATGGGCAGCAATAATCTTCTTGGTGAATGACTACGTAATGGGTAGAGAGGACAGAAATGAAGGATAGTGGGATCCATCCAGGATCACTTCAGATAGCTTGATCCACACAAAGGGCAGGGCATCGTCCGGGCAAGAGGCATAAACCCCACCTCGCTGAAACGGGTGGTTTCTCAAGAAATGGAAAAATCAAACTTGCCTGGATCTGAGCTCCTGGGGTCATCTGTGTCCTGAACTGTTCTCCCAGGCAAGAGCAGAGAATCCTGCGTAAGTCAATCTGGGAAAGAAGAGAGGAAATAAGAAGTCTCTCCGTGCCCTATCCTAGCTAGAACCTGCCCTCTGGACCAGGCCCCCACCTGCCCGCTCCCTCCACAGCTGGACAGACAGGTTCAGGTGGGTACGCTCGGGAAGAAAGGAAAGGGAACGACTGCTGGGATCCGGCATGGACTGCAGCCAACCCCACGCCATGCACCTTTGGCAGCACGGGGGGACCGCCTTGTCAGTGGCCCAATCTGCCGGCCCGGGTGCAAGCCTCGCACGCTCTGTGATGCACAGGCTTCGGGCGGTCGCTCTACTTAGCGCAGTCACTGCGGGTGGGCCCTGCCCACCGCTATCGTCCCCTCCCACCCCGGCGCGCCCCTCGACCCGCCCCCGGGAAAGGCGGGGAGCACCCGCCAGGAACCCGAGGCTTCAGGGACCCGAGGCTTCAGGGACTCAGCTAGGGGTGGCCGCTCACAAACCGAATCGAGCCGGCAAGGCTGCGGAGCTGCACGCCCAGAGAGACAGCGACCACGCCACGCGGTCCAGACAGTAGCAACCTGCCAGGGGCTGATGCAGCGCTCGCCCCACGCGGAGGCGGGCAGGAACAGAAGCGGAAGTGGTTGCGGCCGCGGAGGCCTCTGGGAAACGTAGTCTGGGCCGCTCAAGGATCTTAGGGACTCCATCCTCAGAGCAGGTTGGCATCACTTGCGAATCTTTGAAAAGTGAACATGCGGGAAGTGGAGAGCCACTGATCGCAGTCCGGAGGTGGTGACTGACATTCAAAATCTGGTAAAAAGATTGGAGAGGGCAGTGGGCCACCTGGAAGCAGTATCCCATACCTCTGATATGCACCGTGGGTATGGAGACAGTCCTTCAGAAGCAGGAGCAGCTCCATCTGGGCAGGCATTTGACTCGCTCCTTGCCAGTCCTATGGCAGAGTACTTGAAGATCAGTAAAGAGATTGGGGGAGACGTGCAGAAACATGCGGAGATGTTCCACAGGGTTTTGAAGTTGGAGCGAGCTCTCTTGGCTACAGCTTCTCAGTGTCAACAGCCGGCAGGTAATAAGCTTTCCAATTTGTTGGCACCCATCTCAGAGCAGATCAAAGAAGTGATAACCTTTCAGGAGAAGAACCGAGGAGCAAGTTTTAAATCACCTGTCAGCTGTCAGCAAAAGTATCCAGGCCCTGGGCTGGGTGGCTATGGCTCCCAAGTCTGGTCTTTATGTGAAAGAAATGATGCTGCCATGTTTTATACAAACAGAGTCATCAGAGTACAAAGATGTGGATAAGAACCACGTAAACTGGGTCAAAACTTATTTAAGTATACAGGCTTACATTAAGGAGTTCCATACCACCAGACTGGCCTGAAGCAAAATGGGGCCTGTAGCAAAAGAACTGAGGGGACTACCATCTGGACCCTCGGCTGGATCAGGCCACTGGCCTCCCCCAGTCTACCAGTTCAGGCTCAGATGAGTCTGTTTCCCTCTCAGCACTGTTTGTGCAGATTAATTCGGGGGAGAGCATCACACATGCCCTGAAATATGTATCTGATGACATGAAGACTCACAAGAACCCTGCTCTGAAGGCTCAGAGTGGTCCGGTACACAGTGGCCCCAAACCATTCTCTGTACCTAAACCCCAAATCAGCCATAAAGGAGCCAGCTGTACTTGAACTGGAGGGCAAGAAGTGAAGAGTGGAAAATCAGGAAAATGTTTCCAACCTGGTGATTGATGACACAGAGCTGAAACATATGGCTTACATACACGTGTGTCAACACAACATTGCAAATCAAGAGCAAAATTAACTCCATTACAGAAGATAACTATAAGAAATTTGGTCCGGTATTCAATGACATGGTGGGCATTGTGGAGCTAATCAACAGTAGGGATGTCAAAGTTCAGGTAATAGGTAAAGTGCCAAACATTTCCATCAACAAAACAGATGGCTGCCATGCTTACCTGAGCAAGAATTCCCTGGATTGTGACATAGTCAGTGTCAAATCTTCTAAGATGAACATTCTCATTCCTACAGAAGGTGGTGACTTTAATAAATTCCCAGTTCCTGAGCAGTTCAAGACTATGGAATAGATAGAAGTTGGTCACCACAGTGACAGAAATTGCTGAATAAGTGAAGTAGGTTGTCTGCCCTCTCTTCACATCATGGGATAAATCTGTATCAAGATGGTTTTCCAGATTTCCTCTACATTTCTGCTCTTAAAACTGCTTGTCTACTCTGAGAAGCACAGCTATTTGCCTTCACTGAAATATACCTCAGGTTAAGATTTAGGGTGGGATAGCAGGTCAGTTGATCTTCTGCAAGAAGGTGTAGCTTTTCCAGATCAGCTCAACCATGACCAGGACTGCCGATCAGGACTGATGATGCATTTTAGCTTTGAGCTCTGGGGGTTTAGTCTACCAACAAACAGTCCATTGGGAAGAAAACAGTCCCAGGAATTAACAGATCAGAATGTTCACACTGGTTAATCTTTTTCTAACAATGAGCATGAAGGTAGCAGAAGCTGGTGTGTTTCCAGATGGTTCTTCTAACCAAACTAATTGTTCACTGTTGACAAATGAGGCAAGGGTTACACAGGACCAAAGGCTGAGGCTTGGCCATCTAGTATTCCACGCAAAATTGTTTTCTATAACCATTTTTTTTAATTCTCTATTCTATCCTGGGTCTGCCTCAACCATGAGATAGGGGAGTCTCTGGTACTAGCTGCTGTGGCAGTGCCCTTCATCCAGGGCAGTTAAAGGAGTCTTGGACCCTTTCTTTCTCTGCGATCCCTGCCCAGTACCTTCCTACAGAGATGACTTTAAAAGAAAAAAAAAAGGAAAAGCAACACACCATTCCAAGGAGTCTGGCATTTCTGAATCCTCCTAGGTGCCTGTCAGATGCCTGTCAGGTCCCTGCTAGGTGCCTGTCACCTTCTTCACTGCCTTCTTTACCCTGTCATACTCATCAGCTATGGCTTCTGTCCAAGCACCAGAACAGGGGACTAAAACCTCCACTGCAGGCTGATTTTAGGTCTTGATTTATGTAATACCTAAATCTTACATAAATTTGCACAGCACTGCTAATGTAAATTTCAGTTTTTTCCCTCTAGGACAAACACCAAAATATGAAATGTTTTGGAGAGAAGAGAGATTGGCCTGTGATTTCTACCCTTTCCCTAAGGTCTGTGGAAATAAACCTTTACATACTTAAAGTTATACAGAAAATAAATACCAAAAAGAAAAAAAAAGTGAAGGTGCCACGGTCCCAGCTTCAGAGATTCTGAATTAATTGCCCTGAGTCTGGTCCTGGCATCAGGATTTTTAAAAGCCCCCAAGTGATCTACTATGCTGCTTAGATTGACACTTGCCACCAGAAAATGATAAGGAAAATACGAGAGACATATTTTATGTGAGAAAATATGAGAGACATACTTTGGATAGCTGTTGATTTCCAAATAATCCTGTTTTTATTTCATACAAACAAAAAGCATGTTAGAAAACAAATGTATTGTTTTCTAGGAAAAATAAACATTTCTATTAATTCCAGGAATTAGAAAACTAAGGGAAGAAAATGTATCTCTCTCATTCAATTAGGGCCTTTAAAAAAAATTTCTCAGGATGGTGCATTCATTTACCAATTTACCAATGATTGACCAAAGCCCCACGGTGTGCCACTCACTTCTGGATGCTGAGGATAGAACAGCTGACAAGCATCCCTCTAATGTGGAGTCAGGCTCCTTCACATCCTCCTTTCAACTATGCCTGATGAGCTGATTTTCAGCCAAGAATCCTACAAAGCCACTTTACCAAGAATCACCCCACCTTTAATAGCCAATTAAGCTCCTCTTCCTCCACCCCAGATACCTAGTCAAGTGCTTCTTGGTAATTTTTCATCAACTCCCTCACCCTGCCTGTTGGTATAAATCCCCATTTGTCCCTGTTGTACTCAGAGTACAGTTCAATCTCTTTCTCCTATGGCAGTAGTCTTGAATAAAGTCTTCCTTGCCATTTTCAACAAGTGTCAGATTAACTTTTCTTTAATACAATGAACAAAATAAATAATGTCCATTTCCTCAAAGACATTACATTCCAGTGGAGTACAGGAAGACAGATTAAACCAAAGCAAAAAGATAAAGTAGTGGGAGAGGATTGTTAATACACAGTTCTAAGGAATGGCCTCTTTGATAAATTATCTAAGCAAAGGACTGAAGGAAGTGAGGCACAGGAGTATTTGTGGGAGAAGTCTGTTTTAGTCAGATAAAACAACAAATGCAAAGCTCCCACCTGGAATGTGGTTTGGTTTATTTGAGAATCAGCAAAAAAGTCCATGTGGTTAAGACCCTAATAACAAGAAAAGGCCAGATCATGTTGGTCCATTTAGTCCACTGAATGGATTGGTTCTTATTATGAATTAGATGAGAAGTCATCAGAATGTGGAGAAATTGGAACCCTTATTCATTGTTAGTGGGATAGCAAAATAGTGCAGCTACTTTGGAAAACCATTTGACAATTCCTCAAAATGTTAACCATAGAGTTACCACAACACACAGTGATTCCAGTCCTAGATATGTACCAAAGAGAAATGAAATATACAGCCACACAAAAACTTGTACATAAAAACTTGTTCATATCAGCATTATTCATAAGAGCAAAAACACTGATACAACACAAATGTCCATAACTAGCAAATGAATAAACAAAGTGTGACATAACCAAACAATGGAATAACATTTGTCAACAAAAGGAATGAAATACTGATACATGCCACAACATGGATGAACTTGGAAAACATGTTAAGTGAAAGAAGACAGTCACAAAATGTCACACATTGTATGACATGTCTTATATAAAGTATCCAGAAAATGCAATCCATAGACACAGTAAATATATGAATGGGTGCCAGTGGCCAGAGGGAGAGAAGGAGTGGAGGTGGTGGGGTATGGGAGAAATGGGAGAGTGACTGCTGATGTGCCTGTAGTTTCTTTTAGGGGTGATGAAATGTTCCCAAATTGAATAGTGGTTGTATTCATTTCCTAGGGCTACTGCAACAAACTACAACAAACTTCAACAACAGAAATTACTTTTCTTACAGTTCTGGAGGTAAGAAGTCCACAATCAATGTGTCAGAAGGGCTGGTCCCTTCTGAGACTCTGGGTAGAATTCCTCCTTGAATCTTCTCAGCTCCTTGTGTTCACCAGCATCCTTAGCATTCCTAGCTTGCAGCTGTATCACTCCAGTCTCTGCCGGTCCTCACATGGCATTTTTCTGTGCATCTCAGTCTTCGTATGACATTTCCTCTTATTAGAAGAATACCAGTTATATTGGAGTAGAGCCCACTGTAATGATCTTGTATTAGCTTGATTACATCTGCAAAGACCCTATTTCCAAATAAGGTCACATTCTGGGTACTGGGGGCTAGGACTTCTAAATATACATTTATTGCGGGGAGGGACGCAATTCAACCCCTAAGACTTAGTGTTATATATGTTTTGCTCTTTGTTTCCCCTTAATACTCTGTAATTTATTTTTATAAAATTCAAATAGTGTAAGTGATAAGATGTAAGTTTATCTCAGATGACTGGATAATCATCCTAGCACCATTCATTGAAAAGTCC